AAGAGGGGGGAAGAGGGGGGAAGAGGGAGGGAAGAAGGGGGGGGCACAACAGGTTATCGTTGATGAGCTTTTGGTTTACTTTTAGTTAGAGTTTTTGTGGGAGTGAGATTGCGGGTTTGGGGGTTCGAGCCTCAGCTCGGTCTGACGCTTTGTCCTTTGGAACGGCACTTTACGCGAATTTTCCATTTGGCTCGGTCCTTTTGGAGATGTACGTCAAACTCGGAGGTCCTGCTTCTTAAATAACCTAATAGTGTTGATAGGGGCGTTAAACCTTAACCATTTTCACCAATTTTGTTTAGTGCGAGGTTTTGTGAGAGTTTTAGTGACCGGTTTGTTTCTTTTTTTGTAGAGGTTTTACGGCGCTCACAACTGCATAAGGTCATATGAGAGCCAGAAGATTAGAGGTGTTACAAGAGAGTAACAAACACAGAAAAGAAGTAGGAGAAATCAGGACGATAGATGTTTGATTGGAAAGAAGAAGCCAACTACTCCAGGTTATCGTTGATGAGCTTTTTGTTTACTTTTAGTTGAGAGTTTATGCTACCCACGCCACTAAATCGTATTTCCAAATGAAGTTTTCACAGATGGTAAGATAAGGTGTGCAGGTGGCAAGATATTTCACCCCGAGTCTATTTGATGAAACAAAACTGTTAAATGAAGCAAAAAAAAGAACAATAGAAATAAAAACGAAAATAAACAAGTTTAAACAAAAAAGAATAGTTATGATAACACAAGCGTTCTCGTAGTTGTTAAGAAAATGTGTGTAGGGTGGAAGATATTTCACCCCCAATCTATTGATGAGTTGCCATTTTAAGTTGCACGAGCGTTGTTACATACCAAGCTTACGTTGTTGTGGGGATTGTTGGAACAGTTTCTTAGAGGGATGGGTTGAAATGATAGCTGCCATTCCCTCTACTTGAAAGTCGTGAAAGGCCAGGCCACCCTCAGCACTGACAGCAAATGTCATCGTGCGGTTCGGTCCCCTCCCTTCGACCCTGCACTACTGGAACGAAGCTTTGACCACCCCGTGCTCTTTCTCGGATTTTCTTCAACAGCTTGATACCAGCCTCATCGATGAAGGCAAATTCATACCGCTAAATGTTCTGCATCAGCCATGCTGCATATTGACGCCTGGTTGCTTCAGTCCTGTCAGAATTTCTTTCCGCGGGAGCATCCTCGGGATTTTATTTTATGGTGATCAATTCCCCCTAAAAGAATACTGCTTGTGGTTGTCGTCAACTCAGTTTGAGCATAATAAAAACGCTTCTCACGCCGAATAATGTTTGTGGAGGATATTTGCTTTAGCCTTTTGCTTTGTGGCCTTTGAATTTATTGTATTACATTGGATTTGTTATTTGTACATTTGAACTTGTTACGCACAATTGAGCACTAAAATGTCCTATTGAACATTTGAACTTTCTATGTGGCGTGAAACTTTCTATGTGGCATTTGAACTTCCTATGTGGCATTTGTATTTCTTATGTGTACATTTTGATCTTTAAAAAACTATAGAAAGTAACTTACAAAGGGAAAGAAGTGTTATTTGTAGTAAGAGTGTTACAGCACTTGCATCATAAACAGGTCAAATAAATCTTGACGATTAAAGGAGTTACTAGAAAAAGTAACGTACAAAGTAAAAGAAGTTTTAATTTTTTGTAAGAGTTTTACGGCCCCCGCAGCACAAAAAAGTCATGTCATACAGTTGCCGAGGATGAAGCGTGTTACTGGAGAAAGACAAGCAAAGAAAAGAAGAGGGAGAGATAAGGATGATATTATGATTTGTTTGATTATCTTTTTTTAAATA